GTGCCAGAATGGGGGGTGGAACCGCATGCGGGCGCAGCCACTGGGGCCTTCGGTGGAGCTCCCTATGGGGCCACGAAACGTGTGAGGGGTGTGCCAGAATGGGGGGTGGAACCGCATGCGGGCGCAGCCACTGGGGCCTTCGGTGGAGCTCCCTATGGGGCCACGAAACGTGTGAGGGGTGTGCCAGAATGGGGGGTGGAACCGCATGCGGGCGCAGCCACTGGGGCCTTCGGTGGAGCTCCCTTCGGTGGAGCCTGGAACCGCATATGGGGCCACTCCTTGGTGGGGTGTGGGGCCACGAAACGTGTTGCCAGAATGGGGGTGGAACCGCATGCGGGCGCAGCCACTGGGGCCTTCGGTGGAGCTCCCTATGGGGCCACGAAACGTGTGAGGGGTGTGCCAGAATGGGGGGTGGAACCGCATGCGGGCGCAGCCACTGGGGCCTTCGGTGGAGCTCCCTATGGGGCCACGAAACGTGTGAGGGGTGTGCCAGAATGGGTGTGGGAGGGGGAGGAGGGGGGAGGAAGGGGAGGAGGAGGAAGGAGGAGGAAGGAGGAACGCGGGGCGACGTCTCTTCAAAACGAGGACCCAACACCACAGGATGGTTGGGAAAAACGGGCATGTATATACGATGGGTTGGTGGCAGTTCCCCCCTCATGAAGAGCAATATGGACAAGGAAAGAGGCTTGACCAAAACGTGCGGACCTCCGGGAACATACAACAACACGTGTATCGTAGGGGCGTTGTAACATGCCCGGCCAGAGCGCCCAAACACCAGTGTCTGGTATGGTTTGGTTGCGGTCTGCCTCATCATGAAGAGTAATATGGAAAAGACAGGAGGAGGCGGAGGAGGAGGATGTGATATATGATGGATGGAAGAAGAGCATGTGAGATCACGTGGGGGATGCCGTATACATTTAGGTATATCCAGATTTCCCAGGCAGTATTTGCACTTCAGGTTTCCTATTACTCTTCGAAGGAACTGGGCCTTGGTGTCGGTCTCGCGGCTCCGTGCTCGCCGTCGCCGCCCCGTCGCCGCCCCGTCGCCGCCTCGGCGCCGCCCGTCGTCTGGGCCGTGGTGTCGGTCTGGCGGTTCAGTGCTCGCTGTCGCCCCGTTGTCGTTGCCCGTCGTCTGGGCCTTGGTGTCGGTCTGACGGCTCCGTGGTCGGTGTCGCCGCCCCGTCGCTAAGAAAAATATCTTCGACCGCCCCCTGAGATTATCGAACCCCCTTCTCGTATAGCAATTTACGTACGAGTCTGCCCCATCGTCCATCCTGAATACGAGTTCGTGCCATTTCAGCCAGGCCATTCTCGACCCCCCCCCCCGCCATCCCCTGCATAACAAAACTGTGCGCGCGCACTGGTTTATCAGAAATCAGACGTGTTCAAGAACCCCCTGCAAAAGCGAGACGAAGTGCACACGCGCGCGTCGTCGCAATCGCATGCCAGAATCTTTCAAACACCGTCGATGTCGTAAGGATTTCAAAATCGAGCGTCCAAACAAACATATGAAAAACACGGTTTCGCAACACGGACGTTCAGAAAAAACATGCGCGCGTTACCTTGCGAATTTGTAAGACACCATATGAGTGTTTTAACAAAATCGTTCGAACGCCCTCGCGCGCGTGCTAGGGTGGCCCGATCCGTGTCAAATAATACCATGCGGGCCACTGTCGCGGGTCTGCCGCGCGCGCATTTCGAATTCCTCCCAAAACCTTCATCACCGACGCGAAGACGCCGTCATCGTCGTCGGCGTGATCAGCGTCGGCACCGTCACTGGCTGCCCCGTCGTCGCAGTTAGCATCGCCACCAGCGTCGCCACGATCATCATCGTGTCTACCGTTGTCGACGTTGCAATGATACCGCGCCCGCCCAAACCGACGACTCGCACTGAAGTGCCCGTTCGGATGTGCCGAGCGGTCAGCGCCACCGCTGTCGCGTCGGCCGCGCCAAATTAGCTGGCCGTTGCGCGCGCGTGCTTGGGTTGGCGCGGCCGCAGAGATGCACCAGCCAACGCCAAGCATGCATCGCAATCGCCACCGCATGGGTTTTGCAAACCAAGTTGCGGGTGGGTGGGTGGGATGTTTGCGAGGGCGCGGGGTGTGCCATTTCGTGTGTGAAAATCAATTGAATCAAATTGATTACGCCATATAGATGGCACGCAAAGATCGCGCGACATATTTTGCACGACGCAATCTGCGTCGCGCTGATTGCACCGTATTGATTGCGCCCTTCATATACTGCACCACATAATTTAGGCAACATAAATTGCACACCAGAGATTGAACCAAATAGATTGCACCACGAATGTTGCACCACGTACATTGTTCCACACAGATTGCAGAACATAGATTGCAACACGTAGGTTGCACCACGTAGATCGCACAACCCATACTACATCATGCATATTGTACCACATCGTTTTTCTTTTCCCACATATATTGCATTATGGATGACGCAAAAATCACACTGGTTGGGGCCCACGCGCGCTAGCATATAACTGTCTTGATATAGTGAGTACCGGCACACACACAGAAATCGGATGAGGCGTGGTTTTTGGACGGGGTCGGGCTTGGGCCCGGAACGCCACCAAGACGGCCCCACACTGCCCAGAAGGGCGTGAGGACGGGCCATGAGGGCTGCAAAAGGCGTGTCATGCGGTCCAAGACAACCCCGAATCGCCGAACGATCGGTCCAAGACCCTCCACGTGGCCTCCAGACGGCCCACGAGTCTTCCACGGCGCCCCCAGAGGCCTTCAAGAGCCTTCCGAAGAGAAAACCAAGACCCACATATCGTCACTCCGAGGCGGCAGCGGGCGGCAATGCGGCGAGACTTCGACGACCCCCCCCCCTCCCAAGTGGGCGGCGACGGGCGGCGACGCGGCGAAACCTCCACGGACCCCCACCCGAACCAAAGTGCGAGCCGACGCGGGGTCGACCAGGCGATGATGGGCCGCGACGCAGCGACGCATCGACGGAGTCATCCACCCCCAAAGCGAGGCAGCAGCGGGGGGCGCAGCCTCGACGGACCCCCCCCCCGAGTGGGCGGCCACGGGGCGGCACCGGGCGGCGGCGCGGCGAGACGTCGACGGATCCCCCCGGAGTTGGCGGCAGCGGGCGGCGGCGCGGCGAAGCTTCGGCACAGCCCCACCAGCGAGCAGCAGCGCGGCGGCCACGGGGCGGCGACGCGACGAGACCTCGACGAACGCCCCCCCCCCCCGAAGCGGGCGGCAGCGGGCGGCGCCGCGGCGAGACCTCAACGGAGCCCCACAGCCGGGCGGCAGCGAGGTGCCAACGGGCGGCAGCGCGGCGAGACCCCCCCCCCCGAGTGAGCGGCAGCGGGGCGGCAACGGGCGGCGAAGCGGCATAGCTTTTGATGTCGGGCGTGTCCCCCTACAGGGGGATTGTGGACGAAACATAGAAAATACCCCAAACATACACCAACAGGGCCAAAACATATTAAAACAATCGTCCCCAGGTATGGCTATCTTTAAGGTATATGTCTTTTTATTTATATTTTAAAACATTAAGGTATGGCTATCTTTAAGGTATTAATACCCCAAACATACTAAAACATTTGTTTTATGGCTATCTTTAAGGTACTTGTATTGTTCGTCGAGAATCCCCCTGTAGGGGGGCAGGCCCGACTTACGCACAGCTTCGACCGACCCCCGCCCAGAGGGGCGGCGACGAGGCGGCAACGGGCGGCCGGACCTCGACGGACCCATGCGATATCTTGGTGGCACAAAGAGTGCGGGCCCCGAGCTGCAGGCACCGCTGGAGGAATGCATCTTCGTGCCGTTTGGGAGCTGTCGGACCTCCGCGGGACGTGGCGTGCTCTTTTCTGGCTTCTTCGACGGTCCGGCGGTGGCGTTTGAAGAAGAGGAGGAGGAGGAGGAGGAGGAGGAGGAGGAGGAGGACGAGGTGGAGGATGAGGAGGACGAGGAGGACGAGGAGGAGGAGGCGTTTGAGAGGAGGAGGAGGAGGAGGAGGAGGAGGAGGAGAGGGGAGGAGGAGGAGGAGAGGAGAAAGTGAAGAAAGTGGAGGAAGAGGAGGAGGGTGGAGGTGGATGAGGAGGAGGAGGAGGAGGACGAGGAGGAGGAGGAGGAGGACGAGGAGGAGGACAAGGAGGTGGAGGAGGAGGAGGAGGAGGAGGAGGAGGAGGAGGAGGAGGGGGGAGGGAGGAGAACAGCAAGAGGCGGAGGAAGGAGGGAGAAGGAGGACGAGGACGAGGACGAGGACGAGGGGGGAGGGAGAAGGAACATCAGGTCGAGGAGAGTGGGAGGAGGAGGAGGATGCGGACGAGGGGAAGGAGGACAAGCCGAAGAAGGAGGAGGAGTGGGAGGAAAAGCAGGAGGAGGAGGACAAGGAGGAGGAGGAGGAGGAGGAGGAGGATGCGTGGAGGAACTCTCCGTGCGTGTCTGTTGTTTTCCGACTTTGACGCAAGAAAGAGTTCTTCCCAGGCCGCGAAGGCAATTTTGGAGGGACCCGGTGTCGGGGTACCATTGTCCACAGCACCGAGGCATTAGGTCAGGCGTGAGGAGTAGAAAAGTGGAGGATAAGTGGACGAGGAGAGCTGGGAGGAGGGCTGAGGAGGATAGGAGGAGGAGGAGGAGGAGGAGGAGGAGGAGGAAGAGGAGGGAGAACGAGAGGCAGGAGGAGGGGGAGGAGGAGTAGGGAGGAGTGGAGGAAAAAAAGGAGGAGGGGGAGGGCGGAGTGGGAGGAGGAACGGCAGGAGAGGAGGAGGAGGAGGAGGAGGAGGAGGAGGAGGAGGCGGGAGGAGGAGGAGGGGAGGCGGGAGGGAGGAGGCGGGATGAGGAGGAGGAGGAGGAGGAGGAGGAGGAGGAGGAGGAGGAGGAGGAGGAGGAGTCAGGGAGGAGGAGGGAGGAGGAGGGAGGAGCAGGGAGGAGCAGGAGAAGGCGAGGCAGGATGTTTAGGGGAGCGCGCTGGCTCCCCAGACATCCCGCCAGAGGCGCGCCCCGCCTCCTCCTCCCCCGCAGGCCGTGGCCTCCGCGGGCCGCAGGGCCGCGAAGGTGCCGGCCATGGCCTGGGTGTCCGACCTCCTCCTCGACGACTTCTTGCCCGAGGCTCCCCCCCCTCTCGATGATTTATCACGTCGAGGTCTCACCTCCTCCCCCTCCCCCCCCCTCCTCATCCCCCTCCTCCTCCTCCTCCTCCCCTCCTCCTTTTACTCCTCTCCTTTCCTCCTCCTTCTCTTCCTTTTGCTCCTCCTCCTCCTCCTCCTCCTCCTCCTCCTCCTCCTCTTTCTCCTCCTCCTCACCTCCGGCGGGCCCTGGTGCGGCCCCTCCGTAGCTCAGAGTTCAAGGCGCAGATCCTGGACGAGGATGGGTGCTCCCCTCCCGAGAGCTCCCGCGAGCTCGCGGGGGAGTGTCGTATGCGAGGAGCTGGGTCCTTCACTGGCGATTCCCGTCGCGGACCTCCGAGGCCCCGAGCCGACAGCGGAGAGAGCCTGGATCTGAAAATCAGAATCAAGCAAGAGATTTCTTTTTGGTCCACATGAGATGTATGTTCTCATTGAGCTCACCCCAGGACGCCTGCGTTATCATATCATTCAACAGATGTGCCGCCCCAGCCAAACTCCCCACTTGACGATGCCTCCCGCACAGATCAACCATCAAAAAAGACAGCCTTAGATCCAAAACTCGCCGTGGTGCAAGTCTCAGCTGCAGGCCACGGCTCCGCGGCAGCGCTCCCCCGGGCGGCGGGGGCGGCAGCGCGGGCGGCACGGCGCCAGGAGCGCGCCGCGCGCCGCCCCGGGAGCGGCGGGTGGGCGGCGCGGGAGCCGTCGACGCGCTGCTCCTGGATTTCTGGGATTGCGTCGGGCCTCCCCCTCTGCAGGAGGAGTAGACTCAAAAGTGGTCAGGAAATTCAGAGCCCCGAAGCATCAGGGTTTAACTCGGGTCAGGGCTAACTCGGGTTCGTTTTCCGGGAATCCGAGCCCGACTTACCCCGGACCCGAGTTACCCAGGATAATTCGGGCGTCCAGGGCCCCACATCATCAGGGGTAATTCGGGTCAGGGCTAACTCGGGTTTCTTTTTCGGGAATCCAAGCCCGAGTTACCCCGGACCCGAGTTACCCCGGATAACTCGGGCGCCCAGAAATTAGTCAGGGGACGTTGTTCCTACTACTTTTGGCTATGTTGAAGTCTTTTTGTTGAGTATTGGACATGTTTCGCCAAAGATCCCCCTGGAGGGGGACAAGTCCGACCTAATTCTGGGAGGCTCCGCCTGAAGGCAGGAGGCGGGCAGTTGCCCGCTTCAGCCACGAGCAACCTCGCACGCAAGCTGGAGACGGCCCTTCCGGCGGCGTCTTGACCCGTAGACGCGACGCCCTGCGCGACCGCGAGATTGGTGGCCGGAGCGGCCTCCTAGCCGCGGGCGCTTTCCCGCTTGTCACCGCCCACCAGAGCACTCCTCCGAAGACGGCATCTGTACACCACCACCGTCCCTGGCCAGGGACATCCAGGGACCCACCATGTTGTACACGCCCTCGTGGCATCGGCCAGGCGGGCGCATACACCATGCCAGGGCCCAGGTCGGCCCTGGCCAGCCACGGTGGTGGTGTATTCGATGCCTTCTGCGCAACCCCAACCCAAGCCGAAGGCCCCACATCGCCCTCCATTCCCAACAGGGGGGCGGGCGTCGGGAAACACTGGAAAAAAACACGTGTAGAACCCGTCCCCCCTCCCCCAGGAGGGGAAAAAACACACAGACACAATTAATAGTCCACTCCCAGGAAAATATGGGAAAATATGAGAAAAGTGGGGGGGGGGGGAAGTGGGGAAATATGGGGAATCCTTTTGGTTGTGTGTATTTATTTGTGTGTCCTGGGGCCCCTTCACTCCCCCCCCTGTCGGGCCTTCCGGTTGGGTCGGGGTGGTCAGCCCGTGGATGGGGACGTCCAGGAAGGCAGTGCGGTGCAGGTCGGGCCGACCCGCGCCCCTCCTCCTCCTCACGCCTCTTGGCCATTCCCCTTTTCTACCATTCTCCCCGCAGCCCTGGTGGAGCTCTCTTCGGAGCATGCGCGCGCTCATCCCCCTCCTCCTCCTCCTTGTCCTCCTTGTCCTCCTCCCCCTCCTGGGTCCTGGGAGGGGGAGGAGGGCAAGGAGGGAGGCAGGAGGAGGGAAGAGGAGGGGGAGGAAGGAGGAGGAGGAGGAGGAGGAGGAGGAGGAGGAGGAGGAGAGGAGGAGGAGGAGGAGGAGGAGGAGGAGGAGGAGGAGGAGAGGAGGAGGAGGAGGGAGGAGGAGGGAGGAGGCAGGCAGGAGAAGGAGGAGGAGGAGGAGGAGGAGGAGGAGGAGGAGGGAGGAGGGAGGAGGGAGAAGGGAGGAGGGAGGTTGGAGACAGGAGGAGGAGGAGGAGGAGGAGGAGGAGGAGGCGAGGAGGAGGAGGAGGAGGAGGAGGAGGGGAGGACGGAGGCAGGCAGGGCAGAATTGGAGAGAGGAGGAGGAGGGGAGGAGGAGGAGGAGGAGGCGAGGAGGAGGAGGAGGAGGAGGAGGAGGAGGAGGAGGGAGGACGGAGGCAGGAGGCAGAAGAGGAGAAGGAGGAGGAGGAGGAGGAGGAGGAGGAGGCACGCGCATCGCCACGACGCCGCGCCGCGGGTCCTGGCGCTCTCTCGCGCGAGGGGGGCGCAGGCCGCCGCAGCCAGGCTTCCCAGCCCGCGGCTGGCCCCTCTCGGACATCCGCGGCGCAGCAACCGCGCACGGCACAGGGTCGGGCGCACGCCTCCAAGGAGGTCCTTGTGCGTCCCATAGCTGGCGAAAGAGGCGCTGGCGAAAGAGGCGGCCCCCCGGCGCCACGCCGCCATCGCCCGACCCCGCGCACGCGGATGCCCCTCCGCCCCTCCGCGGCGCGGCGCGCGCGGGCGCGGCACAGCCAGGATTCTGCACGAACGAAATGGGCATGGAAAGAAGGGGTACAATGCCCAACAGCAGCTCCTGTTCATTATGAACAGGACTCGCTGTCCGCGCCGCCGCGGTCTTTGTCCATTCGAGACAGAGGGCCGCCTGCCCAACAGCGGCCGCTGTTGGCTTGGGACAGCATTTGCTGTTGGGCATTGTCCCCATTCTTGCCGTACCCATTTCGGGCGTCCAAATCGTGTACCTTCGTAAATCTTCGAAGAAGAAAAAACACATAAAACATTAGCATGGCGAAAGACCCAACCATACGCAGTTGTGAATACCGCAGTTGTGAGTACCCATTCTTGCCGTACTCATTTCGGGCGTCCGAAAGGATGCCGGAGCAAGGGCCGCCTGTGGGTTCGGACGAGGCTCGCTGCTCCGTCGGTCCGTCCGTGGCTGTGCCTCGGGCCCTCCTCGTGCACCGAAGCTGTCTTGGTGCTGAGAAGGAGTTGTGTTAAGTCGGGCATGTCCCTCTACAGGATGAATGTTCAAAAATAGTCAGAAAAAAAGTCTGGGGACGATTTTTTTGTTGTTTTGCATGTTTGATTATTTTCGTCCAAAATCCGCCTGTAGGGGGACACGCCCGACCTAGGAGTTGTTGTTCCTCATCTGGCGTTCCTGGGTCCAGCAGCCCGACTGTCCGGGAGTGCAGTGCTTGGTTGTTCCCGAGACGGTTTCGGGATGAGAAGCCGACCAAGGGGACGGGGTCGGGATTTCTGGGGGGACCTTGACGTTCTGCCCGTTCGCCCCATCTTCTCTTTCTTGTTCTCTCCTCCACCCCTCTTCCATGATAAGTAACTCCCCGTGTCGCACCAGCAGACGTGTCCGTAGGCCGCGCGGGTGGTTCCGTTTTAGTTTTCCTTGATATATCTTGGAGCTTGAGAACACATTTATGCAGAGATGGAGGCACGACTGTCGTTATAATACGGCTCTCCCCTTTCGCGCCGCGCGCAGTCTTCTCGAAAGCGTGCAACGGTATCAAGGATGAAGGGGACTCGTGCTCAACATGTGGTTCTCGTGTGGGCGCCACGCACATGTCACTCAAAAGCTCCCAACAGCTTCAAGGATGGAGGCCAGCTCGAGTTGCACAGGGTCCTCAGCGCCCCGCGCCAATCCGTCCAGAGTTCCCAACCGCTGCATGGATGGAGGATGGGGGTCGTTTTCGAAGTTATGCTCTCGCTTGGGACGTCCCCCAGTTCAAATATTACTCGGCATCGCTCGGACGTGTGCATTTTTCCTTCGGGCGAGGGCCATCGAGGAGCATGCTTGATCACTTGGCGACAAAAACACGCACGACACCGAGCAAACACACAGGGAAGGGACGTCCGAGCGATGGCCAGATCAAGCGTGCAATTCTGCGATACCGTTGCACGGATTGGGCGCGGCTCCTTTTTTCAAAGCGGAGCTCTCGCCAGGCATTTCGTTGAGCATGCGGCCCTTGCCGTTCGACGGAAGGGTGCGCAAAGCAGCTGCTTTTCAAAGCGGTGCTCCCGCCTGCGCTGCAGGTCCATCATGCGGTGCTCGTCTCTCGAGGGGGCGTCTCGTGTAGTCAGAAGACGGCTTGTGGGGACTTTGAAGATGGGACCTGAGACGGGAGGGTGTATTGCATCATCGTTCGTGCATCTTGGGTTTACTTCGATCTCTCCTCCTCCTCCTCCTCCTCCTCCTCCACGTCTCCTCTCTCTTCTGTCCTCCTCTTCTTCTTTCCCCTCCTCGTCGTCCCCTTTCTCCTCCCCTCTCTCTCTGTTCTCCTTGTCCTCCCCCTTTCTCTCATGTCCTACAGATCCTCGACGACTTTTGCTTGAGGCGTTCCTCGCCAGACCCTCTCCCCGCGCGTCATGGAAAACGTCACGATGGAAATGTGTCAGGTCGCTTTCGTCATTCGGGAGTCCCTTGTCAACAAAACGGCTGGATTAACAGGTGGCCCTTGGAAACGGGTAGAGATTTCGGGGGGCCCCATCGTTCTGCCCGAGGTTCCCCCCTCTCCTCATATTGTCTCGTCCTCTCTTCTCCTCCTCGTTCATCCCTCCTCTGTTCCAGCTGTGGCAAGTTCAGTGAATCAAATGTGCGACAGCTCAAAGAGAGTTGCCAAGGTTTCAAGAGAGTTGTGGGCAAGACACAGTGGGACCTTCACTGTCGGGGGAATCACCCCAAGTGATGCTCCCGCTCCCCCTCTCACTTCCTGAGCCCACCACTGAGGCTCCAGGAGTTTCTGGCCGCTGAAGCCATCAGAATTTCAGAAGCCCAGGGAGCGAACCTGCTGCGCTCTCCAACCACGTGCTGTTCCTCATTATCATCCTCGTCTCTGCTCCTCCTCTCTCCTCTGTTTCCCTCCTTCCTCGTCCGTCGTTCCCCTCGCTATCCATTTTTCTTCCTTGCAAAGGGCTCCTCTTCGTCGCACAACCAGACGCGTCCGCAGGAGAGCCGGGAGGAGGAGTTTCACGCCATGGCATCGATCGTCTCCCAGAGGGGGGATTGGCGGGTCTCCCTTGCGCCACTTCAGCGATCATCGAGGAGGAGGAGGAGGAGGAGGAGGACGACGACGACGAGGAGGAGGAGGCTCCCAGAGGTCCCTCGAGGTTCCCATGGCCGCACCCGTTGGCCGTGGTGGCAGGGTGTCAAGAACCCTGACGGCCCTGAGGAGCGGAGAAGGAGTGACACGCGCGGCCCCTGGCCGTGGGCGTGCGATCAGGCGGATGCCGAGGAGGCGCGCCGGGAGCAGCTGGAGGGCACCGAGGAGCAGCGCCAGGAGGCTCAGGAGCACCCCGAGGGCGCCCCGGCCCCCCCTCGGCCCTGCTCGCCGCCGGCCCCTCCTCGCTGCTCCGTCTCGTCGCCCTGCTGGCGGTGCTCCTGCTGCTGCTGCTCCACCCTCCTGGGCAGGCCTCTCGCTCCGAGCTCGTCACGTGGCATCGCTCGGGCGTGTGCAGTGTTGTTCCTCGGCGAGGGCCCTCGAGGAGCATATTGGATCAGCTTGCGAAAAACTCAGCGCACCATATCGAAAAAAACGCACGAGGACTGGATGCCCGAGCGATGGCGAAACCACGCCTCCTCCTCCTTCTTCTCCTCCTCTTCTTCCTCCTACGCCGGCGCCGGCGCCCCGTTCTTCTGCTTGTCATCCTGTTGCTGCTGCTGCTGCTGCTGCTGCAGCTGCTGCTGCTGTCTGCTGCTGCTGTCTGCGTCTCGCGCAGCCTGTGCTTTCGAGGCCGAAGCAGGCAGAAGGCGGGCGGGGACCGGTGTGCGAGCGCGGGCAGGCGAGCGTAGGCTCGGTGCCCGGTGGCTGGAGGCCCGCGAGGAGGGGCGGAGCGATGTTCGCGCCCTCGGCGTGTTCCAAGTTGCCCGCGTGCACTGGGTACTCCAGATCTCGTAATAAAAGGGAGGGGGTCTTCTGGACCCTCCAAGACAAGCCATTTCAGACCCCCCCCCGTGGGAGAGCCCTCCAAAACGTCGTCCCCAGACCCCCCCAGGCCCTCCAAGATGGCCTGGAAGAGACCCCCCCCGAAATGAGACCCCCCTCCCTTTATTTCGAAATCTGGAGTGCACATCGGTCGGAAGAAGTGGATGTAATCATCAAGTAGGAAGGCGTTGGAAGTAGATCGGGCATCCGCCCGCCCGCCCCCTGGGGAGGAGGAGGGAAGAGGGACAGCCGATCGACGCGCGAAGTAAGAAGGCGCCTAAAGTAAATCAGAACATGGAAATCTAAAAGTACCTACTTTCAACGGCCAGTGGGCTTTATGTCCGAAAATGGACAGCACCATCCCAGCTTTGATGCCTTTGGCCCAGGTATGTCTGTCCAGCCTTCGCGTGGTTTGTGTTGCCTCGTGATGTACGCGCTCTGTCTGCCATGCTCTCTGCCACTGGCCAACCCAACACACAGCTCGGCACGGTACTTTCCCAGCGAGGCCGCTGAGTTGCTGGCAATCACGGCCAACATCATCAGAGGGAGGATGACCCTTGCGCAGCGATCAGAGGGACCGCTGTTCTCGATACGGGGTCCCCGAAAGTCGCGACCCGTTCCCCATGGCTGTTTTTTTCTTTTCGGCCTATTGTTGACGGCCCCAGGTCAAGCGAGCTTCTCGAATACAAAACAAAACGGCGAGCAAAACATCGTCTTGTTCCGTAAGCACGTTGGAGGTCTGGGCGAGAGACCAGGTCTCAGGGACGAGGACGAGGAGGACGAGGAGGAGGAGGACGAGGAGGAGGAGGAGGAGGACGAGGACGAGGATGACGAGGACGAGGAGGTTGAGGAGGAGGAGGAGGAGGAGATGACGACAGAGGGGCGACGGGGACGAGTGCTCATCTGCATGGATCCTCGAAGCTCGTCCAGACGCTGGTGACAGGGCCTCCCAAATCATAGCCAGGGTTGGCTGCTTCCATGAAGCCGCAACGACGCACTTCCAGGCCGAAGCACTCGCACTGCAAGATCGCATGTAACCTCCGTGGTTTGAGTAGCAGTGCACCGTTCGGCTGGCCAAGCATAGCCCCAAGCTGTGCAGAAGAGTAAGAAGATTGCGAAGAAGAAGGAATAAACACAACAACAACAACAACAACAACAACACCAACAACAACAACAACAATAATACCAACAACAACAACAGTAGCAACACCAACAACAACACCAACAACAACAACAACATCAGCAGCAGCAGCAACAACAGCAGCAGCAACAACAACAGCAACAACAACAACAATTACAACAACACCAACAATAACAACAACAATAGCAGGGAGAGAGCAGGCCTCGTGCGCCCCCCCCCCTCCCCGCCCCCTCCCCGGTGGAGGAGCTCGTGGCCGAGTTCTGCGAGTCCTGGCGCGAGGTGTGCGCCGAGCCCACCGACACGGAGCCCGCCGCCGCCTGCGCCGCCAGCCCCCCGGGAGAGGCGTCAGCTCCTCCGCCGATCCGAGGACTTCCAGCGCAATCGAGCAAAACAGAACGTCACGAGCTGACAGAGCAAGATGCATAAGCAGAAGCATAAGCACTTTCGGAGCTTCGCGCGGATTTGTTTGGATCGGCACTGGGTTTCCCGGGTTTCCCTGGCGCCGCCTCTAGCGCCGCCCCTGGCTTCAGCGCCGATCCGAGAAATCCGCCCAGGGCTCCGAAAGTTTATGCTTATGCCATACTGTGTTCTTCCATGCAGTTCGCACATGTTATACGACCCTCCGAATTCCAAAGGTTGGATTCGTGGCGGGGTCTGTGAGCTCGTGTTGTCGCATGGGGGTCCCCGCTCGAGCGGGAGCCTCCCTCGGGGTCCGACAACTCGCACCCAAGGCGCCTCTCTCGGGGCCCTGAAGAAGGAGCCCTCTTCGTTGGGGAGGGGCTCGGTGTTCCTTGATGGTTCTGCAGTTTTTTGCCCTCGGTTTTCCTGAGGCTTCCCACGGGAAGTCGAAGTTCAGCTTATGAGAGAAAAGGGGCCTCGTTCCTTGCTTAGGGCTCCTCGGGTCAACGCCCCCACTCTGTAGGCTGTGCTCAGGGACGGAGCTGTCTTTGCCTCGACGCGTCAGGCGTCGGGGTGCCCTCGCCGGCCCGGGAACCCCGCCGACTCGGGAGGGAGAGCCGGCCGGCCTTGGGGAATGTGCGGACATTTCTAGGGGCCTCCTCCTCCTCCTCCTCCCTCCTCCTCCTCCTCCTCCCTCCTTCCTCCTCCCCCTCTCCCTCCTCCCTCCTCCCTCCATCCCCCTCCCTCCTTCCTCCTCCCTCCTCCTCCTCCTCCTCCCTCCTCCTCCTCCTCTCTCCTCCTCCTCCTCCTCTCCCCTCCTCGGCCTCCTCCTCCTCCTCCTCCTCCTCCTCCTCCTCCTCCTCGCATTGAAACAGTTCATACGTCGGATCTCTGTGACCTCTTCTCGCCTGGGGGGGGGGGGAAGGCCGAGGGTAGGGGAGGGATTGGCTGAGAGGACAGGGAGGGAGCCAAAGGGGGAGGGGAGGAGAAGGAGGGCGCGGAGCGAAGGGAAAGGATGGGGGGACGCAAGGGCAGGTGGAAGAATGTCTGCTTGCCCCTTCAATGTGCAAAGAGGGTTGTTTGGGATCACGGGGCCAATGGCGCACTTGCAGTTGAAAGGGAGATCTTTGAAGAGTTGGTGGTAATTCCGGCTGGCGTTCAGAGGCGGTGCACAGGCGGCTGTCCAGGCCTTTCGGCTTACAAGAAGGGATGGGCGCCAGTGCGACCAGAGGTCAGGGCTTGTCTAGGACTAGGAGGCGAAGGAGGATGGAGGATGGAGATAGAGCCCTCTAATCTCCTCCTGGGGGAGTCTTCGTGGGGCAAGTCTCGACGAGGGTCCTGGCTGGCTTCGCCCTCACAATGGCGCCTTCCCGGAAGCCTCTCGCTTCCCGCCCCGTTCGGCTCCATCGAACGAAATTCGGTCACTACAGTGCACGGATTGGCGAACGTAGTTGTTCAAGAGTGGCATGTTCGTGTTCGTCTTTCGGAAGGATCTCGCAGTCCCGCCTCGCGCTAACACCGATCCAACGTCTGTAAACAAGCGATTTGTTTGCGGCGAGCTCGAGTCGACGCTGCGAGTCGACGCTGCGATGCTGTACTTGCGAAGCCTACGATAAACAACGATCATCAAAGTAAAATGGCGGGCACACCCGCTCTGGCACACGATGCGATCCGTGCGGCGCACGATGCGTATTTTATCTTGTCACGGTGGTTGCCTCGGAGGCCATCTGCTTACTTGCCTAGGCATGCTAGGAGGGGGGAGGAGGCGGGGGGGAGCAGGGAGGTGGCCTTCATATGGGGCTAGGTAAGTGCTTCCAGGGCTGGCTTGGGCAGTTTCGGCAATTCCAGCCTCCCCACCCTCTCTGCAATTCCCCTCCCAACCCCGTCGTGTCCGTCCTCTAACCTGATTCCTTGCTCAGGTGATCCTTGAAGCCATGCCCTAGCTGGACCAACTGAGCCAGATTCGGCCCGGGGCATCTCTTGTTGGATGTGCACGTGTACGCCATGCGCGCGGGCTCCAATCCCCACGAAGGCCATTATCCGGATGCTCGCATTAAGCCACCTGGGTGTGCGTTGAGTTTTTTACGTTGCATAGGCCTGTGACCAGATTTTGCAGATGCATGCGCGTCACAGCGCATCCGCGGATGTGGAGGAATATACGAAGTCAGTATCGTGGCATCGCCCGGACGTGTGCATTTTTCCTTCGGCGAGGACCATCGAGGAGCGTGCTTGATCATTTCGCGAAAAAAACACGCACGAAACCGCAAAAAAACACAGGAAATGGACGTCCGAGCGATGGCAAGGTATGAGGTTCGGAGGACGATTTCTTCTGCGAAGGGCCACGGCCGGGGGGGGGGGGAATAGGTCCGCTTTCGGTAGCCAGACTGCACTTCGGGGACCCACTCTCTACACCCATCTCTGCCCCCATCTCTTCTCTCGTGCCCTCCTCTGTTCACTCTGTTGCACCCCTCCGAGGAGATGGAGGGGGAGGAGGAGGAGGAGGAGGAGGAGGAGGAGGAGGAGGAGGAGGAGGAGGAAGAGGAGGAGGAATGGCGGAGGAATGGCGGAAAAAGCGGAGTCACGCCACCAAGGACCTCGGCGCCTTCTGGTCGCGGTGCTGCGTGCTGTACAGCACGGTGCTCGAGCCCGGGCCGCTGGCAGAGGCTCCGCCCCACCCCCGCGCTTCGAGGAGAGGACGCCTGGAGAGACTCGGTGAGGCTTCACTTTCGGTGAGCAGTGAGGGGGCAGGCCGGAGGAGGAGGAGAGGCAGTGAGGAGGAGAGGGGGGGGGGCAGAGAGGAGGGGGCAGACCGGAGGGGGGGGGCAGTGAGGAGGAGAGGGCCTTCTCAGAGGGCGGCAGGCCTCCTCAGAAGCCCTCGCGCCTCCGGAGGAGCTCTCTGTGCCTCGCGGGGGAGGGCGCAGGAGCCTTCTCCGGAAGGCTTGGGGACTCTCGAGCCTTCTGAGAAGGTCGGTCTCTTCTCGCTTCCCCCCGGGCTCGCCGCCGAATTTGGGGCCTGGACCGTGCACTTTTCCCAGGCCGGGGGGCGGATAGGGGAGCGACAGCGCTGCTTCTGGAGCACCAGGCCTCAAAGGAAAGAGTGATTACTCCCCCGGTGGAATCCCACATGAGCATCGAAGGAACGCTCAACAGGAAGTATGAGCCACAGCAGGAGCACGAGTCCAACCGACAAAATGATCGTTGGTTAGAGCATTGCTTCGCACCCGTATGCCAGCTGATTGAAACCGTCCCTCCATGTGATCGCCTGCGCTTACCATCCCTGTGTAATTCGGGCAGCCCGCTCAACCGACCCCACAGCAACGAGTCGACAGTATGTTGGTGCGCATGAAATGCTTATGCCATATGCTCTACATGTTATCACCTCCGAGTCACAGATGCGGTGAATGCGAAGGCCTCACGGCCGCTGCCGCCGACCCTGAAGACGACGAATATGAAAACAGGGGTGAGGAGGAGCAGGAGGAGGAGGAGGAGGAGGAGGAGGAGGAGGAGGAGGAGGTAGAGGAGGAGCAAGAGGAGGGGAGCAAGGGGGGGAGGAGGAGGAGGAGGAGAGGAGGAGGAGGAGGAGGAGGAGGAGGAGGAGGAGGAGGTGAAGGAAAGAGTGGCGAAAGGAGGAGGAGGAGGAGGAGGAGGAGGGGAAGGAAACACGAGGAGGAGGAGGAGGACAGGAGGAGGAGGAGGCGGAGGAGGAGCAGGAGGAGCAGGAGGGAGAGGCGGAGGAGGACAGGAGGAGGAGGAGCAGGAGGAAGAGGCGGAGGAGGAGGCCACCGGGGCGGAGTCGTATCTGACCCCCCCTCCATCACTGTTCCCTATTACTATACACCCTCTCCCCCAGGCGACTGGGAGCCAACCCAGGTCCATGCGGGCCCCCCCCCCACCACCACTTGTAAACAACAATGCAAAACACACTCTGCCCCCACCACCCCTGGTAAACAAAACAAAACAAACACACACTCTGTCTCCAAATTCGGAGCATGCGCAGCGAACCCGATGCGACCTCCCCCTACCATCCCTGTCAAGGAAAAACCATACAGAGTACACTTGGCGGCGGCGGCGGTTGCGGCGGCTGCGGCGGGGGCAGCGTTTGCGGCGGCTGCGGTGGCGGCGGCGGGGGCGGCGGCGGCGGCGGAGGCGGCGGCGGCGGCTGTGGCGGCAACGGTTGCGGCGGCAGCGGCTGCGGCGGCGGCGATTTGGCAGCGGGGGCGGCGGCGGCGGCGGGCGGCGCGGTGGCGGCGGCGGCGGCGGACAGCGGCGGCGGCGGCGGCGCGGCGGCGGCGGCGGCGGAGGCGGCGGCGGCGGCGGATTGGCCCCCAGTAGATGGCCATCCAAAGACGACTGCTACATATGCTGCGGCTCGGGCCAGGCTCGGGTGCTACGTATGTGTTGGGAGGGCGGGTGGGAGTGAGCGAGACGGCTTGCGGGCGGGGAGGGAGACTCTTGACCCCCTTCCCCACCTCCCCCCACCCCGCCAGGACCCCCCCCCCCGACGGGGGAGGGATCAAAGGGAAGGGGTTTCCCTTTGACGTGGGTACGACGTGGGTCGATTTCCCTCACGGCCGCTAGAGCACTGCAACAACGACGACGACGACCACGACGACGACGACGACGACGACGACGACGAGGACGAACAACCCCTCACACACGCCGACACAAGGTCGGCGGATTTTTGTCTAGTGGCCGTCTGCCCGTGCCGCCACCGCGTCCGCGTTATACAGTGGAGGCCCATGCGAAGAAACAGCCTGCTTGCCTCCAGGGTGCCCTGGGTTTCTTGGGTTTCGATGGTTTTGCGATGGGGAGCGTAATGTTCCGACGCCGAAAATCAATGGACGCACTGAGGTCTCAGGGTCGGGTTTCTTGTGGAAGGTTTCTTGTGGACTCGCCTTCTCTATAGGTCAGAGGCTTTTCGGTGGTGCACTTGGCGCTTCTGGGCGGACCGGGTCCTGACCCACCCCAGCTTGGCGTTGGCGCGCCGGGCCTTGCAGGCGGCACGCGGCCTCCCGTGGTCGCGCATGCTCGAGGTGGCCCTGGACACCCACTGCGGCAAGCTGGGGCTGACACTGGCGGACCTGCCGGGCCCGCTCCCTGAGGGCGTCTGGGTGGTACCGGGGGCGGGCCTGGATCGCCGTGCCCTGGTCGCTGCGGAAGGGGCGGGGCTGCGTCACCACGGAGGTGCGTTCGACGCGTCGAATCCCCCGGGCCAGCATGTCTTGCGCGTCTGCGAGCGCGCCTCCCTGCGGGTGGAGCGCAGGGCCGGGGCGCGGCACGACGAGGAGATGCTGGGCGATGTGGACATCGAAGCTTCGAGCCACCCGGAGTGGTCCAGCTGGCGTCGCCGGCTGCCTCCGCGGAAACGTTTCTGCCTTTCCGTGTGGCGGGCGGGGGCCGCTCGCACTCCTACCCGGCGCTGGGCTGGGCAAGGTCGATTGCAGGCGTGCCCCTGGTGCGGGTTCGACCGGGCTTCTGCCCGCCATTTCTGGTCGGACTGCCCGCGGTTCCTCCCCGCCAGGAGGGCTCTTGAGGAAGGGCCGCTGGCAGTCCCCCAGGGGTGGTGGGGAGCGCAGCCCCGGGTCACGGCCAAGTCCGCTTGGGTCACTCACCAGGCGCACCCCAGCCCGTGACGGCGGGTCCAGTTGCAAATCGCCGCGGTACAGCTGGCTCTCCAGGTCATGGAGGCACTGCAACGCAGCGGAACGAGGGACCCCGGTGCCCCGCGGCGGTGGCCGGCGGAAACGTCCGCGTGGGAAGAGGCGGAAGTTGGGCCGGCGGGGGACGGCGGGCCCCTTCGGCGGAGGCTGGTGGAAGAGACCGCGGAAACCGCGCAGGCGGCACCCGGTGGTGACGCGGTTTCCGCGGAAGTGGCGTTTTCTTTTTCCCCCTCCCCTCGTGGCCTCCTGGCCGGCGGGGTGCGGGGTCCTGGGGGCGTCGATTTGGTGTCCCGCCACGGCGGTGTCCCGATGGTGTCCTTTGTGCATGGGGGGCCCTGGCCCCCCCACCCAGATAGAGCGTCGTTGACCCCCAGGCTGACGGCGCGGTGCCGGCGTCCGCGGCCAACGTGGTGGCATCGGCGGATGGCGGCCCCTTCCCTCCCCTCCCTTCCCCTCCGCTCGGGCGGCGGCGGCGGCGGCAGCCTGGTTGGCGCCCCCTCTTCCTCCGGGGTGGGTGGGAGGTCCTCGGGCTGAGGCTCAGGCACTGCCGCGGCGGCCTCTGAGCAGGTGGACCCAGCGCGCCCCGGGCAAAACCCGGGGAGCATGCGGCAAGGCCAAAGGACGCCTACCGCATATATCATCATTTATGCCTGTGAGGATCTCTTGGGAGGCCATTCGGAAGCCTCGCTGAGGCGGTTCGGTGTCTTGGGGCGTCTCGTGGGGCCTGGTTTACGCCGGTCTGGGGCATCCTCAAGCTTCTGGGGGGCCTCTTTAGGGTCTGGCGGCGGTCTCGAGGTTCAGCTTGGGGCGGAGGGCGCGACATGTACCTTGCCTCCCCCGGGGCCATCTAAGTCGCCCGTTGGGGCCCTATTGGGGCGCTCTTTGGGCCGCTTTTCGGCGCTCTTGGAGCCGCTGTGGGGCCCTCTCGTGCCCCTCGTGAGACTCGCTTTTGGGGCGTCGCGGGCCACCCTGGGGCCTGAAGGGCGCATCGGACGCGACACGACGAGGAGGCACAAGTCATTGATTCCCGTCAATCAGGTGTTGGAAGGATGTTGGCCTCTAGAGGAGGTCATGAGGGGGCTCCGGGGGCACTTGGAAGCGCCTTGTGGCCCAGGTATGTCGGACATGTTCTTGAAAACCATTTTCGGCTATCTTGAGCCATCTTGGAGGCCATCTTGGAGCATCGGGGGGCCCTCTCGGAGCCATCTTGGGCCATCCCGCACGCTCTGCCCGATCGGGGCCCTACCCCAAAAAAACCTCAGGAAGGCGAGCGCACGTTGGCGTCGGGCCCTCGCATCATCATCGCCATGACCACGCGCGTCGATCGCAGGGGCCATCCGATAAATGCTGCTCTGAATCGCGGTTCGCTGGCCCCCCGCCGCCAATTTCTCGCCGTTTTGCCGCTCCGATCTGCTTGCCCAGGCGCTGGCCACTCAGCTGAGGCGCGAGGCCGTCTCGGGGCAGGACGGGCTGCAGGGCCACCAGGGGCGGGCGGATGTTCTCCTCTCCACCTCCTCCGCTCCTCCTCCCCCTCCTCCTCCTCCTCCTCCTCCTCCTCCTCCTCCTCCTCCTCCTCCTCCTCCTCCTCCTCCTCCTCCTCTTACTCCTCCTCTTACTCCTGCTCTTCCTCCTTTCCTCCTCTCTCCAGTTGTCTCCTCATCCCCTACCCCTCCTCTCTTCTCCTACTCCCATTTACTCCTGTCGTTTCCTTTTCCTTCTCCTCCTCCTCCTCCTCCTCCTCCTCCTCCTCCTCCTCGTCCTCTCGTAGCCGCCGCCACGGCCCAGACACCCGCGAGCGGTCCATCCCCACCCACAGTCAACACATATCTTTGACGTGTAGAACATAGGGCGCATCGGCGGGAACGGGGCCGCTCAGGGCGGCGCCGCGAATACTCACACAGCAGTCCGCTACCGTACCCCCACCGCGTTGATGTTTTTTTGTTTCCCCACGTTTCCTCTTACATTGCTCGCTGTGCCACATCCGCTTCTCCGCCGAGGAAAGCAACAAGAGGATAGTGTACAGCAATGCGCAGTGGGCAGACGTCATCATCCTCGAGGAGATTTCGATGCAGATGGCCAACGGCAACGTCGACGGAGCCATTGCGACGGGAAGGGCAGCGCGAGGCATGGATTACACGAAGTATCAGCTGCCAAACCAACATTGTATCCAGCAACACAGGTGGAGGAACGTGGCTGGCGTCCCCAATCCATGCGGACTGGCAGTACTACTGAATAAGGGGCTGAGTGGGAGTGTCCCGAGAGCGGCTACGATTCCGACGACGAGCGGAATCACAGGACGGAGTAACATGATTACAGTCAGTATGAGCACAATAGACGTGGCCTCGTTCCCCATCTCTATAACACCGAGGGGCACGGCCGTCAAACAGAGCGAGCTAGACAAGCGGGGTCACAACAGCCTCCCCATCATTTCTGGTGACTACAACTGAGCTTTTGGAATACGCCGACACACAACAGGGAAAACGTACATCGAGGCCAACGAGTCTAGCGACACAGAGGAGCCAACCCTAGAGAACACCACCAGCATGCAGAGGAGCGACCTCAAAGAGGACACCCACGTGGCGATCGGAGACACCTACATGGGGACAGGGAACGCCTACTACAGAAACGCCTACACAAGCAACTTAGACCACGTTGCCTTGCCTGCGAAAGCCATGTGCCGGGCTCGCCAACCTTACCCCGCGGCTGGCCTGGCGCGACGTCTCCAGTTACACGATCCCGCTCACCTGACCGACCACATGCCGATTTACATGAAACTGGATGGGCACAGCGCCGAGACCCGCAACAGCAAGCTCACGCCACATGCCAACTGCGACCTGATGATGATCGCGTTCGCGCGGGACTACAAACGCCTGGAACTTTCAAAACAAGAAGAGGGGAATACCCAACCGACAGACGAGATAGAGTGGCGCAAAGCCTGGGGCCAAGGCAACGTTCAAACATGGTGGGGTATGCTTTCTAAACAGATTCGTGAAGCCAGGTTGGAGACGTTCCCCAAGCAGGAAATACGACGAGAATGGGACGTTGGAAATCGATCGACACCCCGAGCTCCCGAGAGTTACGAGTGAACGGGGGGCTCACAGCACACAGTACCCATCGAGACCTTCTCAGCCCCGAAGGCGCCCGACGAGCAGACCGACCTCAGAGCGGTGATGGAGAAGCCGACGACGACAACAGCCTCACAAACGAGTACGTACGCACGCACGAGATGGGGGAGGAGGACGAGGCAGATGCTGCGAAACGGCACTGAAGGAGAAAAACAAGCTCGCCCACCGCACAGGGATGACGAGATCACAATGGGATGATGGACCGAGCCGGCCGACACAGCTTGGAGGAATGCAGCACGAGAACTTTGATTGGCAGGAGTGGATTGCCGACCGCGCCTCCATGCTGCACACCCACGATTCCTTGCACGCAGACGGCTATGGAGATCAGGCCAGCCAGGACCGTGCAGGCCAGAATCGATACCTATGCAGAGCCCCCAAACGACGTGCAGGACCAGCACGAGGAGTGCTAGCGCAGGCACCATGCATGTGCTGCGACAGGCGATATCACGACAACGAGCACGAACGGAGGCACAGCCCAGAGAACTTCAGCAGACGGCATGATGATTTACACGCGCTGATTCGCCTGGAAAGATCAGCCCCACAGAGAACCACTCGGTCGCAGTCGTTCACCCAGGGCATGGGCAATGAGAAGCTCGTGGGCCAAGGGCAACAAATCCTTCATTGATTCGAAGTGACACGAGAGTATGGACGCAGAGTAGCAACCTCTTCCAGATCCATGATCGCCAGCACGAACATGGGTACATGGTGCCGTACAGCAGTTGCGAGCAGAGGACCATGTCTGCGCCACAAAGCCCATGCGACCACAGCGACGAAGAGAAAGTGCTGAAGCAGAAGACGTCGCCCAACAACGCGCAGATGATCAGGCAACTGTCAGGCAGCCAAGGGGACCGCTTTCTGATTTACGGCGGATACTCAGCAGTGACCGCTGCGGAAGCAGCGGACACAACCTATGCGGAGAAGGCCCAGGAGAAGAACTGCAAGGACTTGGGGACACCGCGCCTCCACGTCGGCGTAGACTTCCACCTGGAGACGGGGCTCAACGACGGGTCCGACGAAACCAACAAGACGATCCTGAAAGAGGATTGCTCGTTGACCCGCGTGACGGGCATGCAGGGATTCGGGGACATCGCCACGCATATCAAAGTCAAGAAGGCCTACAGCGAAGGGGGACACCCATAGAGATGGAAGTTCTAGTCGACGCTCAACAGCCTCGCACGCAGCCCTCGGACACCCTCATGGGAGGACCAGATCAACGCCTCTCGCGAAGGAAGCCAGGAGCCGCCCGTCAAGATCAGCCGCATCAAGCAGGATGGGGACCTCAGGAAAGCAGTCGAGGACAAACTCCGAGCGGCAGAGGCAGTGCAGATATTCTGAGCACCGCCGTTATCAGGTCCCGTGAGGAAAGTACAGGTAGCATTGTGAGCACGTCAGCTGACGATGGAGAGATAGAGATGACAGAAAGTAGAGAGCTAGCCAGGGATAGCAGTCGCAAGGCGATGGGCCGCTGCGACGCACCACCACCCGTGACGGTTCCTCTTGCTTTCTTTTACGCGAAGCCGTTAAGCACCTGTCTCGGGGATTTAGGCGCCAAAGGGTGCCTCTTTTTTTCTTTTCCCCCTGATTCCCGAGGCGTCCGCCCGTTTCGGTTTGTTCTCTTGTGGGCCTTTTGGTCCGACGCACCACGGGAACCGGACCTCGGGACCAGGCACGTGCACAACGACGGAGCGAGCAGCAGCTTTAGATAGAGGAACTTGGGGGGGGAGCGTGGGTAGGGGGCGGGGGAGGCGGTGGCGGGAATACTGCTACACTGGGACACGTCCCGAGCCAGGGGCGATTGGCCTGACGGCCCTAAGTCCCTGCCGTTTCCATAACAATTTTGTTTTCGGGAAGGCCCCGCGCTGCAGCGGGCCGAGAGGCTGAAAAGCCAGGGTCCCGTAGGCGACCCGTCGGACCCGTCGATCCGCCGATCTAACGTGCCAGCAGCAATTAGGTTCGTACGCAGTCGAACCCCAGACAGCTGCCAAAGCTTCCGACTCCGACTCCGACTCGTCCTCTCGTCCTCCTCGTCGCCCCTGCTCTTACCCTCCGCCTCCTTCTCTTGTTACTACTCCTCTCTCCTCCTCTTGCCTCCGTCTTGCATCAGCGTTCCTCCTATCCTCCTCCGCCTCCTCCTCCTCCCTCTTCCTCCTCCTCCTCCTTCTCCTCCTCCTCCTCCTCCTCCTCCTCCTTTGGGGGCCTGGTTCAGTACACTCATGTATTTCGCCCTAATGTGTTTCTTGGTCGGCGGGGGGTAGTGATGCGCCTCGGCGCGCCGAGAAAGCGATGAAAAATGCACGGTTGAGGCTCAGCGCCCGCGCCGCTGCGAGAGGGCAGCCTGGCAAACGAGCTTGGAGGATGGTAGATGGTTTCGATTTTCCTGTTTGTTTGGTGCACTCATTTTGCCTGCCTTCCACTGGTTTCTTCGGGTGTGCACCGAAGGCTGCCTTATGTCTGTTTTGGTGTACCTCTGTGTTTTCATTCGAATGATCTCGAGTACACCAAAGATTCAGGATGGGGAGAACACACAGACACAATGAATCGTCGATTCCCCAGAAAGTAGAACAATTTGGAATCCTGGGATGTGTGTGGATTTGTTTGTTGGTCCAAGGGCCCCTTCAAAGATGCGCGCCGCCAGGCAGCTTCGCCCGGTGGCGCGCCAGACGACTCCTCGGCTCGCCTCTTGGGCCGCGCCCTGGTGGGGTTGTCGCCCCCGCCTCCCAGCGCCTGGCAGTTGCTCCTTCGGGGCCCCGTCGTCGGCCACAAGAGGCTGCATGTCCTTCTTGATGGGCCTGTTTTCCACCACCACCACCATAAGTTGGAGGGGGAGGGGGTCCTTCTCACCCACCTCCTCCTCCTCCTCCTCCTCCTCCTCCTCCTCCTCCTCTTCCTCTTCCTCTTCCTCGTCCTCCACCTCCTGCCCCCCTCCAACTTATGGTGGTGGTGGAACACAGGCCCATCACTCTGTGGGAAAAGATTACCGGACCCGTGAGAGTCCCTTGTATCATTGTGTTCCTCTCGAGTCCTTCTCCGCCTCATCTTCATGCCTCTTCTTCCCTCTCCTCCTCGCTCACTCCCACCCGCCCTCCCACCATATAAGTCGCACCCGAGTCTGAGCACAGGCAGGGTCGCCATCGACAACTATCGGGAACCAGTCTGGGCGCCAGCCAGGTGCGCGATGCCCGCGAGGTGCGCCGCACGTGTCAGGTGCGCCACGCGCACCAGGTGCACCACATTGGGCAATATGTCGACCGCCACATACTCCCGGTCAAAAACCCCTGCAACATGACGGTGGGGTTTCGAGCATTGTGTGCGTGTTGCGTGTTTGTGTGTGTGGGTGTGCGTGGGTGTTCGTGTGCGTGTGCGTGTGCGTGTGCGTGTGCGTGTGCGTGTGCGTGTGCGTGTGCGTGTGCGTGTGCGTGTGCGTGTGCGTGTGCGTGTGCGTGTGTGTGTGTGTGTGTGTGCGTGTGTGCGTGTGCGTGTGCGTGTCCGTGTCCGTGTCCGTGTCCGTGTCCGTGTCCGTGTCCGTGTCCGTGTCCGTGTCCGTGTCCGTGTCCGTGTATGTGTATGTGTATGTGTATGTGTATGTGTATGTGTATGTGTATGCGTATGTGTGTGTGCGTGTGTGTGTCTGTCCGTAGCATTTTGGCGCCATCTGGCTCAAGCGAGAAACGCCAACGTACGTGCCTGACCGAACCACCTATTCCTCGAGTTCGCCTTTGAGACGTGCACGCCACGATGGCCCAGAAGGCGCCTGTCCGAGTGTGCTTGCTGATCCCTCTCCTCGTCCACGGCGTCTGCTGCACGACCGCAGCGTCGGAGGTCAACTTTCAGCAGGATGACACCGTGCTCCTGCAGCTCGGCACGGACGCCACGAGCTTCGACCTCGCCCGCGTCAGTTCCCGTAAGGGCGTGCCTACAGTGACCTCCATGGTGCTCCACGTGAACGCCAGCCAGCAAAAAGGACAACGCCAAGTCGAGGCGGCTGACCACATGGTGAATGGGGCCTCCTGGAGCCAGTTGGGGCAGGACATCGATGGCGAAGCCCATTACGATCAGAGTGGCTGGTCGGTGTCGCTGAGCAGCGACGGCAGCCGCGTGGCCATTGGAGCACACCAAAACGACGGTGCTGGGACAAGTTCAGGTCACGTTCGCGTCTTCGGGCTTTCGGGCAACACGTGGAGCCAGTTGGGGCAGGACATCGATGGCGAAGCCCCCAGAGTGGCTGGTCGGTGTCGCTGAGCAGCGACGGCAGCCGCGTGGCCATTGGAGCACACCAAAACGACGGCTTGGCTGGGACAAGTTCAGGTCACGTTCGCGTCTTCGGGCTTTCGGGCAACACATGGAGCCAGTTGGGGCAGGACATCGATGGCGAAGCCCTGCGATCACAGTGGCAGGTCGGTGTCGCTGAGCAGCGACGGCAGCCGCGTGGCCATTGGAGCGAAGTACAACGACGGTGCTGGGACAAGTTCAGGTCACGTTCGCGTCTTCGGGCTTTCGGGCAACACATGGAGCCAGTTGGGGCAGGACATCGATGGCGAAGCCTCTACGATCAGAGTGGCTGTCGGTGTCGCTGAGCAGCGACGGCAGCCGCGTGGCCATTGGAGCGGTCAACAACGGCGGTGCTGGGCCAAATTCAGGTCACGTTCGCGTCTTCGGGCTTTCGGGCAACACATGGAGCCAGTTGGGGCAGGACATCGATGGCGAAGCCCCTACGATCAGAGTGGCAGGTCGGTGTCGCTGAGCAGCGACGGCAGCCGCGTGGCCATTGGAGCGATTACAACGACGGTGCTGGGACAATTCAGGTCACGTTCGCGTCTTCGGGCTTTCGGGCAACACATGGAGCCAGTTGGGGCAGGACATCGATGGCGAAGCCTCTGACGATTACAGTGGCTCGTCGGTGTCGCTGAGCAGCGACGGCAGCCGCGTGGCCATTGGAGCGGCCAACAACGACGGTGCTGGGCCAAATTCAGGTCAATTCAGGTCACGTTCGAGCGTTCGCGTCTTTGGGATTGAGGCACCGACGCCGGTTACCTTCGCCACGCCGCCTGCAGCGACTGCTGCTGCAGTCGGGGATCCCCACCTGGTAAATATGTACGGGGAGCGTTTTGATCTCCTTAAGGTCGGCAAACACTTGCTGGTCGAGGTCCCGCAGTTTGCAGCGGAGAGCGCGACGTTCCTGGCCGTCGCGGCCGTGGCACGGCGTTTTGGCGACGCCTGCTCGGACGTTTACTTTGCGTCCCTCAATGTGACCGGCAAGTGGGCGGACGACATTCGCGAGGGCGGCTTCCATTACACGGCCAAGCAGCCGCAGGCCCACAGAAAAGGAACGGGCTGGCTGAGCTTCCACACCATTCAATTGAAGACCGTGTATGGGCCGTTACTGGCGGAGAGCATTTCCACCTGAATCTTTCGGTCAGAACTTGGCAAAGTCGGGTATCTCGTCGGCGTTTAGCTGCGGCGGTGGTGCACTCGCTGTGACCCAGCTCAGTTTTTGCGCGCAAGCGCGAAACTGTCCCTATAGATGGTCATCTTTTCACACTTTTCTTCTTGCTATGGGGCCGTGAGGATTGCCACGGCCTCTGTTAAGGGTTAATATTACTCTCGGATAGGAACTCGTTAATCGTGAAGATAATTAATTTTTGTGTGGTGTCACAGTGTAGTGTCGAGAACCCTTGCGTGCGACTTTACAGTCTGACACTACACTAAGATTAGTGTGGTGTCATAGTGTAGTCTCGAGAACCCTTGCGTGTGACACTACCGTATGACACTGTACTAAGGTTAGTGTGGTGTCATAGTGTAGAGTCGAGAGCCCTTGCGTGCGACACTACAATATGACACTACACTAGGGTTAGTGTGGTGTCATAATGTTGTGTCGAAAACCCTTGCGTGTGACACTACAGTGCGACACTACACTAAGGTTAGTACGGTGTCATCGTGTGGTGTCGAGAACCCTTGCGTGTATCACTACAGTATGACACTACACTGAGGTTACTGTGGTGTAATCGTATAGTGTTGGGGACACCGGGGTGCGACACTACTCTATGACACTGCACTATGGCCGAGGAGGGGGGCAGAGTTTTTTCCGCTCCGCGAGAGGGTGCTCTACGCTACGGTCACTGTGGTGACATCGTATAGTGTTGGGGACACCGGGGTGCGACACTACACTATGACACTACACTACGGCTGAGGAGATGGGCTGAGTTTTCCTGTCTGCTGTTCCGTAAGGTTTTTGAATGGCTCCGTTCCGCGAGAAAGGTCTCTACGCTACGGCTATTGAGGTGTCACAGTATAGTGTTGGGGGCACCGGGGTGCGACACTACACTATGACACTACACTACGGCTGAGGAGAGGGGCTGCGTTTTTTTTTGCCTGCGTTCCGTAGGGTTTTTAGCTGGTTCCGCTCCGCGAGAGAGAAATCAACATTACGGTTACTGTGGTGTCACACTATAGTGTTGGGGACAATGGGGTGCGACACTACACTATGACACTACACTACGGCTGAGGAGAGGGGCTGATTTTTTTGTTTTGCCTGCTGTTCCGTAGGGCTTTTCATTGGCTCGGCTCCGCGAGAGAGAACTCTACGCTACGGTTACATACTGCGGTGTCATAGTATAGTGTTGGGGGCACCGGGGTGCGACACTACACTATGACACTACACTACCGCTGAGGAGGGGGGGGGCAGAAGAGTTTGTTTTACGCTTGCTGTTCCTTAGGGTTTAGCTTGGCCCGGCTCCGCGAGAGAATGCTCTACGCTACGGTTCGTGTGATGTCATAGTGTAGTGTTGGAGGCACCTGGGTGCGACACTGCACTATGACACTACACTACGGCTGACACTACACTACGGCTGAGGCTGAGGCGGTTGAGGAGGAGGAGGAGGAGGAGGAGGAAGAGGAGGAGGAGGAAGAGGAGGAGGAGGAGGAGGAGAAGGATCACGATAATGAAAAGGATACTGTACATATAACGGGGGACTGGGTCCGGGGGCCGGGGGCCAGGACCACGACCACAAATGTGGGGCCAGGGCGTCGTTTTCCTTGTGTTTTTTACGGAGTTTCGGCGACCTGGGGCCAACAAGGCCCCAAGAGGCTGCAGGGAGTCCCCAGGAGGCCGCAGCGATGGCTCCAGACGCCTTTCAAGACGACTCCCATGACGCCAAGAAGTTCAAGAAGGCCCCCGAAGACGCCCCAAGAGGCACCCCGAGAGAGGCCAAATAAGCCAAAATAGTAGATTTCGTATGGGGAAGCCAGTTTTTGTTGGCGTGTTCGCCTTTTGGGCGTCCACTGCGTCCAAGACGGCCCAAGAGGCCCCCAGAGGGGCTCCAAGACGATCCCAAGAGGGTCTTAAGACGGCCCGAGAAGACCCCAAGACAGCCCAAGAGAGCCCCAGGACGAGCCCCAGAGGGGTCCCAGAGGTTTATAACCATATTCAAATTCGGAGTTTTCGGCGTCCCAGGCTCCCAGGAGACCCCAAGAGGTCCCCAGGAGGCGCCAAGAGGCCCCCAAGAGGCACCCCTAATAGAGCCCCAAATAAGCAAACATCGTCGATTTCCTATTGGCCACAGGGTCCGCCCCAGGCGGTGCCTCAAGCAGGTGTTGCCATTGGAGTCCTCACTTGCCTGAGACAAGCTCCAAGCATTTTTCCGCAAAGCGAATCGTGTGTCTGTGACACGGTAGAACCTAAGCGCTCGCGAAGCGCGCGCGTGGTTCCGCACGCACGCACGCACACACCCACACCCACACACCCACACACCCACACACCCACACACTCACACACCCACACACCCACACACCCATACACCCACACACCCACACACCCACACACCCATACACCCACACACCCACATCCACACACCCACCTTATCCCACACACCCGCACACCCACACACCCACACACACCACCCACAAACCCCACACCCACACACCGATCACACCCACCCACCCACACACACCGCTCCACACAGCCACGCACCCACCCCACCAACCCACACACCTACGCAGCCACGCAGCCACCACCACGGCACCCACACACCCACACACCCAGCACCCCCACACCCACCACATTCACCCACACACAACACGCACCCCACACACTACCCACGCACCCACACCCCACACCCACCACGCCACACACCCACGACACCCACACACCCACACACCCGCACACCCCGCACAACCCACACACCCACACACCCACACACACCACAACCAACACACCCCGCACCCACGCACCCCACGCACCCACGCACCCACGCACCCACACACCAACGCACCCACACACCCACACACCCACGCATCCCACGCAGCCACTGCACCTACACCCTGCCACACACCCACACACCCACCACACCCACACAACCCCACAAACCCACGCCCACGCACCCACTCACCCCGCACCCACGCCCCACGCATCCACGCACCTCTAACCCAAGCAAACCCACTCCACCCAGCACCCCAGCCCCACGCCCGATTCCACGCAACCCGCTAACTCGTCGAGTTCTCGAGGCACACACCCACATTCCCCACACACCCACACACCACACACCACAATACGCGCACGCACAGCGCGCCGCACGCGCGCACGTACGCTCACACACACGCACAAATTCCAACACACACCACACACACACACACACACACACACACACACGCACGCACACGCACCACACGCACCACACGCACCACACGCACCACACGCACCACACGCACCACACGCACCACACGCACCACACGCACCACACGCACCACACGCACCACAAGCACCACACGCACCACACGCACCACACGCACCACACGCACCACACGCACCACACGCACCACACGCACCACACGCACCACACACACACACCACACACACACCACACACACACACACACCACACACACACACACCACACACAACACACACACACACACCACACACAACACACACAACACACACAACACACAACACACAACACACACAACACACTTTTTGATTCGCGGGTCGAGAGCGCACCTCTTCCGGTCGAAGCTAAGCGGGCCGCGGGAAGCTTGAATTAACAAAGAGGGGGGAGGAAATGAGTGCAGACTCGTGGCAAGGCCGGGAGGAGGCAAAGCCTCGGGATCAGGCGGTGCCGAAATCGACGTGCTTGCAAAGGTGCGCCTTGTCCAGGAACCCGGTGGTGAAGTACCGGCACAAGCAAAATGCTGTGGTTGGTGTTGCCGTCCACGGCTCATCATATACACCAGCCTCGAGTTGGCGGCGGGAGGTGACGCGCCTTGCACTCAAGCGGCGTCAGAGACCAGGGAGGGCGGAGATCTCCGCTGAGCCGAAGTGCAACGTTGTGCCATCGAACAGGTAGGTTGAGCGAGTGGCCCAGGCCGTGGTCGTCCAGGGTGCCACGGGTCCAGGGTACGGGAGCCGCAGTGACTGAGGCGCGGCAGCCGGGACATGCCATGATCATGCCGCCTGTGACGACCGACAGGGTGCCGGTGTACTGGAGCAGGAGGTGGAACGAGTCCTGCCCTGCAGGGGCGAGCGCGCGGGGCCGGGCCGAAGCCGCGCTGTGCCAGGGCGCTGCCGTTGTCCGCGGAGCCCA